CATTTAGATGTGAAAAATGATACATCTGTTTAATGAGAAAATATGATTAAAAAATAATTCCCCGTTCCCTGTGCAGTGTCATATCTTACCTGTGCAGCGCTGAGCAGGTGAGTGCGGTAAATGGAGACCACCTCTCTGTGCTGCCTCTCAGCATCCTGACGGAGCAAAGACACACGTGTTATGATCAGAGTATCAGAGCCCGTCTGCTAACAGCTAACAGCTCACAGCTTACAGGTAACAGAGTGGGGTACTTACAGCCAGCTGCTGCTGGAGGCTCTTGACTTGGGCCTGCAGTGAGTCTGTGTGCCTCTTGGGGGCGCTGCTGGTGTAGGCCAGCTGAGACAGGCCGTTCAGAGCCTGCTTCAAACGTTCCACGTCTGTCAGCAGCTCTGTGATCTGAAACACACAATAATCAAAGAATTACAACAACAAAACTGAGGTGGCAACAACTTCAACTCAGACACACAGGTGCCACCTGCACCTGCAGACACTGGACCCACCAGGAGACCAGACCCTTTTAAATGCACTGCTGAACACTACAGTAGGATTAATGTAGCAGCCACACCAGAGTATCAGCCCTGGTAAAACCTTCCCCAGCACCTTCATTGATCCTTATTCTTCTTAGAGAGTACATCTAGTCTATGCAGGTGGCATTTTTATGACCCTACTGCAGCTGGTGTGGTCTTTGAGTTGGTTCAGGTTTGGTGTACTGTAGCATTTGACAACAAAGGAATAAATGGAGTGTAACAGAGTAAAATGGCATTACAGTAGATATATTTCAATGATCACCACGTACTTTCTTGTCCTTGGCCTCGGTCTGCTGGGCCGAGGCCTGGATGCTCCTCTGCAGTTCCTGAATGGTGCTGAGGGACTGGTCGTACCTCTCCTTCAGCTCTCCCACCTCCTTCTCCACAGTGCGGCTCTTCTCCTGCAGAGCGTTGGTCTCGGCTCGGGCCTTCCTCTCCTGCTCTGAGGCCAGAGCGGCGTCCTCCCTGGCGTCCTGCACCTCCTCTGCCAGAAGCAGCAGTTTCTCACGCAGCCCGCTCACCTCCCCGCCGAGTTGCTGCCTGTCCTTTTCCAGCTGGGTCAGATCTTCGTGCTTGTGCCTCAGCTCCTCCAGGGCTTGCGTGGCCTGCAGGAGCTCAGACTGGAGTGTGGCTACGTCCTCTGCTCTCTGGGCATTGTTCTCCTCCTCCTCCTTCAGTGCTACCTTGAGTTTTTCTACCTGTTCCTCCAGACTCTCCTTGGTTCTTGCATACTGCTGATTCTCCTCTTTCCTCTCCTGAAGGTCTTTCTGAAGGACACTCATCTTCTGAGCTTCGTCTTGCTGGGCGGCTCTGGCCTTCTTGCAGTCCGCCTGAGCTTGCTGTACCTCTTGGTTAAGTGCTTTGAGTTCTCCATCGTAGTTAGCGATGCGGGTTAGCTCTGATCTCAAGCGCTCCTGTAGACTCTGGACCTGCGAGGCGTAGTCTGCGTTCTCCTTCTGTAGCTCTGCGTTCTGACGTTCCACCTCCTCACGCTGCTTCTCCAAGTCATGAACTTTGCCAGTTAGTTCTTCAAATTTACATCTGTACTCCTTCTCCAGCTCCTTCTTCCTTTCAACCAAAGCCAAGTCTAGTCTGTGGTTGACCTCTTCGAATTGAACCTTCAGCTGCTCCTTCTCATGTTCAGAGCTTTCCCTAATTATCTTCTCTTGGTTATATTTCTCCTCCATTTTGCTCAATTTCTCAGTGAGCTCTTGCAGTTGCTTCTCATAGGCCTTCTCCTTCTCTTCTATGACAGTTCTTGGGATAAACTTCACCTGGATCGCCTCTTGAATGGTATCCAGCTCTTGCTTCTGAGCTTGGAGTTCCTGTGTCAGCCTGGTGGTCTCATCTTGAGCCACAGCGTACATCTCGGCAGCCTTGTTCGCCCGGTTCTCTGCCTCCACTGCTGCTGCCTTCAGCTGATCAGTGACCGCGTGGTGCTCCATCACGCTAACGTAGTCCTTCTGCATCTCCAACCGAACCTTCTCCAACTCACCTTTCAACTTGTCATTTCCATCTATCACGTTCTGTAGTTCTTCACCACGTTCTTTCTTCCTTGACTCCAGCTGAGATACTTGAGACCTCAGATCTTCTATGGTGGCCATCAGCTCTTTCTCGATCTGCTCCAATTGCTGCCTGGGCACGTACTCTCCGTCCATGGTTTTCTTCAGCTCCTGGCTCTGTGTGGTTAGCTGGACACACTCTATATCTCTCTCCTCAAATCTTCTCTCCATCTTCTCCAGTTGTTTGACCAGATCTGTGTTCAGTGCTTTCAGCTGATCTATCTCGCTCGTCTGCTGGTCCCTGGTGCTCTGGAGGTGGTGGAGCTTGTCTTCCAGGGTAGATCTGTCTGACTGTAGCTTCTCGACCTGAGCCTCAGCTTTGCCGTAGCGCTCACTGGCCTCCACCAGTTTGTCCTCCAGGTCCTCCAGGGCTTGGACCATGTTGTGCCTGGCCTCCTCGTGAAGCTGGACGGGGATGAAGTCTGTCTCCATCTGACTATTGAGCTTCTCCAGCTGTTCTCTCAGAAGGTCTCGCTCCTCCTCACTCTCCTCCACCTGAAGAAAACAAGGCAGGTGTGAAATCAGGACAAAGGTCAGGACAAATGGAATAAAACTGTTGGTACATGAATGACTGAGTACAGTGAACTTCTACAATGTATTTTAATTTTATAGCAAAAAATTAAAAATAGAAATTGGAGATTCGGGTTTAATTCCCAGGTGGTCAGATCTCTTCTGTGTAGAGTTTGGTCTGGTTTCCCCCCTTCAACCCAAAACATACTTTCTAAAGCGAAGTCACTGGACTTATAAGCTGTTTTACACCAATATTGTGATTTAAAATGTCCAAATTATAACATAATGATCCACCTAAAGTCATAGATTTGACACAAGCACAATATGTCTTCTTTAAAGCTCTTACCACTCGTCCTGGAATGAGATCAATTTCGGTACAAGTACTCACAGAAGTACTTCCAAAAACCCGGTTTGTTTTGTTGCACTGTTGTCCAGCTCAGGTACAAGTTCACAAATCCTCTTCTCTTCCAGACAACAGTAAAAGTCAGACAGAAAATGCGACAAACTGGTGGGGAGGAGAAGGACATGGACTGACCCTGAACCAGATCACTGAGTCATGAGTTAGGCTCTGCACATGTGACGTGTGCAGACGTGTGGCTCTCAAGCTGCAATGGTCACACTTTATGATTACTGCATTATTTAAAGCCTTACTGAAGACATATTGTGTTTGTGTCTGCTATATAGATGAACAATAAACTATGACGCCTGTGGATCTTACGTTAACATTTGGACAAATTAACGCACAATATAGATCCAGAAAACTGTGGTGCCCAAACAAAGTGCTGCATGCTGTCAGCACCTCCTACGGGTAACTGCAGAGCACAATCGCAATTGTTTATTTTACTTTATTTTCATTTGTACCAAAATGACTACACAATACTGCCTACATGTATCAAGAAATTTTAAAAAGTGGTGAATAAAGGGCTTGATCAACAAAATGCCACCTTGAAATTAAGCAATTAAATAATCTTGCATAATAGGTTTGCTTTGTATGAAGTATGATTCATAATGAACAAATAGTACAAAAAGGTTTAGTTTAGTTATTAGTTGATTAAAGGGCAGCTGCTCCATTTTCTAATCTAAGGTATAATGTGGTTTTCTCATTAAAAACATCCCTGGAGTTCATTCACACATGTTTAACAAACAAACCCTGCATATTTAGGTTTTAGTCCTTCTCTAAAACTGAAAACACTTTGTTCCACCTTGTAATGTCAATGTGCTAAACCAAGAAGTGCTCTACTGTGTTTTTAAACTCCATACACCTTAATTAGAAAGGTGATAATTGACAATTTCAGATGACAATTTATACTGGTAGATGTTAGCTTGAAAACTACCACGTGATGACACTGCAAGGTGGAACTGGGCAATTTGAGGTTTGGAGATGTGTGAATGAAACATGTCCAGGTATATGTGAAGAATCCCTCAGTCGTCCAGGTAGAACCCATGGTGAGGAGAAAATTCAGTTTGTCGACTGGACAAAAGTTAGTTTGGTTGAAGACATTTCTCAGCTCATCCAAGCTGCTTCTTCAGTTCTGGTCAGACGCTGGTGGACACTTCCTTATATCTGCAGGGAGGAGCTAACTACACTGAAACTAACACACACTTGTTTACAGTTTCTGTTGGTTAGTTGGGCCTATTGACCTGTGCAGGGTGTGGGGTCTAATTAGCAGAACAATTCATGGCCATAATGGAGCTTCCACACCTCTGGACCTGACCTGACTACACCTGTTGTTCTCTTGTTTGTTTTGATTTAGGTTTGAGGATGGAGTTGTGAATAGGAGATAGATGGTGTCTGAGGCCTCCACTTCTGTTTAGAGAAGGATTCTCTTTCTTAACAATAATGTCTTCTTTCACTCCCCTCTCAAACTAATTCTTTTCTCTGGCTAAAATCTGTACCTCGCTGTCCTCAAATGATGTCCTCCAGCATTCTGACCAGAACTGAAGCAGCAGCTTGGATGAGCTGCGAAACATCTTCAACCAAACTAACTTCTGTCCAGTCGACAAACTGAACTTTCTCCTTGCCATCTCCCGGTATAGTCTTGAGGAGGTAACAACATTCTAACATGGCTTAAAGCTCACAAGAGTAAATTTGATGTAATATAGTCTTAATTTAAGCCACAGTAACATTTGCAATTTTGATGTTACTCCCTGGTCTTATATGATCATTTATTGCCCTCTTGTCAGCAGAAGAATAACCTCTTCACATACCTCCCTATACCAGACCAGTAGATGAACCCACCTCCAGGATGAGTGCCTGGCTCTTTGCGGTCACTTCCAGCAGTCTCTTCTTGAGCGAGGCGTTGTGCTCCTCTAGAGCAACCCTGATCTTCTGCTCCTCCTCCGAGCACGCCGACTGGGCCGAGGGGCTGTCTATCCTCCTGTGAAGGTCCGCCACCTCCTCCAGCACGCGATCGTAGTCCTCCCGGAGCTCCGCGATCTGCCTCTCCTTCTCGTCCACCGCGTTGGTCAGCAGGTTCTTCATGTTGTCGAACTTCTCGGCTGGGACGGTATTGCCCTGCTTGCTTCTGGCCTCCTCCAGTTGGTTTTCCATTTGGAGGAGCGTGTGTGCGAGCTCGTCTCTCTCTGCGCTCACCGCTCCCAGCTCGCGGCTCAGTCTCTCTGCCTCGGATGCTAGTTGGCTCTCACTGCTTTTGTACTCCTCCAGAGCCTTCTCGCTCTGCTTGAGGCGGTTGCGGACGCGCCCCACCTCTGCTGACGCGCCCTCGTACTTGGTCTTGATGTCCTGGAGCTGTGCGCGGAGCTCTTCGTTAGCTTGTCCTCCTGGCAGGGATGAGACAGACAGAAATATTGTTTATCATGATAAAAACGGTAGACAATAATAATTTGTTAGCAGTTATTTCAAAGTACAAGACTTTTACTCATACTATTGAAAGGAACAACAATCAATGATTTTAAATTCAATAAACATGATCTATCTGTGTCCCAGGATATGAGCTAAACATGTTCAAATGAAATACAACTTTTACTGATAATAATGGTGGTTATAATTTGGTTTAAACCCTAAAATAACTTTCTCTGATCTGAATGGTCACTACCTAAACCCCAGCACATGCAGCCAATCATGTATCTTATCTCTTATTTTATTCTTTTTTTTTTTTTTTATCTACGAGTGCATGCTCCATACAGTATTTGTGACACAGAATGTTAGTATGTTCCCCTATGGCGTACCTCCAAGGTGCTCCTTCACTGCCACCACGTGAGCCTGCAGCTGCTTCACCTTACACTCCGACTCGAGCATGCGTTTCTGCACGTCTCCCAGGGCGTCCTCCAGCTCTTGGATCTGCTGGTCGGCCTGCTTCTGGACGCTGTCTCTGCTCTGCACCAGTTCTTGGCACTCTCTGGTTTTCCGAGAGAGCGGCCTGTAGCCTGGTTGTCTCCTCCTCTGCAGTCTGGTGTCTCCTCCTCACAGCCTCCAGCTCGCGCCGCAGGGCCTCCAGCTCAGACACGTCCCAGCCCAGAGATGCATGCCTCTCTGGGCCCCGAGACGACGAGCGGGACATGGACACTCTCTGAACCTGCAGCGGATGGGATATACTATGTTTGAAGATATCTAAAATTCACTTGAATTAAATACATTTCTTAGTTACTAGTCACAATATCAAGTTAGGGTTAAAATGCCCTTTACATTATCTCCATTACATGCATTCATTTAGTATTTTAGTGCCTGGTATCTCATTAAACATACTGGTATATATATTTGTACCTATTTGTCCATAAAGAAATGTGTACTTAAAGGTGCACTGTGTCGCCTTTTTGGTATACATGGAGATGTTATTGCTTTGTCTTTATTGCTTTTTCTTGCAAAAAAGAAGAAAAAATGGAATACATTGTATACATTTTCTCTGTGAGCAGGGGCATCCTGCAGCTCGCCTGCTCGTCAATCATACATACACATTTAAAAGTCCAGCACCAGGTTGAGCAAAATTGGCACCTCTTTACCCGGTAAAGCATTTTATTGTCCGATATTCATGAAGTGTGTATTTGCATGTTAGCTGTTATTAGCAAACCTTTGGTCTCAGTTGTGAAAAGCACAAAGCTCAGAAAGTATACGCACCTCATGCATCTGAGAATCCCAATGATTGTGGGGAATAATTAGGATGTTCAGAATGCATAAGTTAATTCAGGAATAACTTTGGACCACTGGAAATAGGTTGAACCAATTCTGCTTTTCACGTTTTTACGACAGTGAAAATCAGGTACATCGCCTTAAAGCCATACTGTGGAACATTCTAGCCAAAGTGGGATACCCTCCACACAGTGCAAAATCAATAAGGTGGTTAAAATCAAATCACACTGAAGCTCATTCTGAAAGAGTTTCATTCCTACATGTCTGACCTGCTCTATGTCCAGGCTCTGGGCTTGTTTCACCAGGCTCTCTTTCCCTGTGAAGAGTACACACACATTAGACATTAGAACCACCCCCTCAGAGCAGAGTGTGTGTGTGTGTGTGTGTGCATGTGTGTGTGTGTGTGTGTGAGCGCGCGCGCGTGTGTGTGTGTGTGTGTATGTGTGTGTGTATATGTGTGTGTGTGTATGTGTGTATGTGTGTATGTGTATGCGTATGTGTGTGTGTATGTGTGTATGTGTGTATGTGTATGTGTATGTGTATGTGTATGTGTGTGTGTGTGTATGTGTGTATGTGTATGTGTATGTGTATGTGTGTGTGTATGTGTATGTGTGTGTGTATGTGTGTGTGTGTGTGTATGTGTGTGTGTATATGTGTATGCGTATGTGTATGTGTGTGTGTATATGTGTGTGTGTGTGTGTATGTGTGTGTGTGGGTGTGTGTGTGTGTGTGGGTGTGTGTGTGTTGGTGTGTTGGTGTGTGCAAGCGTGTGTGTGTGCGTGTGCACGTGCATTCTGCTGCCTCTGCTCACCTTTGATGACAGACTGACCGGAGTAGTCCCCCTGTAACACACACACACACACACACACACAGGTCTGTCAGGCTCTTTATACTTTTGTATATCATGAAGGACTAAGACTGTTTCTCTGTGAAGACACCAGACCAGGAGAACCATACAACACATGACAACTGTGCACATGGTTTTCATCTTTTTCTAATTTGTTTGGCTTGAAGAGGTGGCAGCTGTGGTAAATAAGTATCATAGTTTTACAATTAAGACAACTTTTGGTTGCTAGGTAACAGTCATGGGGTTAGCTTCACACTGTGGAGTCTGCAGGAGTACACACTGTGTGTACCTTTAATGTCCTCAGAGGCAGGGTAAAACTATTCAAACCTGTTATCTTTGACACTGGGTATGCACAGGACTTAGATGAGGGCTGGGTCTCCTGTTCTCCCTCCCACCCCAGCATGCACAACACAGCGCCCCCCGCAGGCTTATCAGGGTTAAAATGTGCAGTGAGTGAGTGAAGCACAAGCACCTTCTTCTCCTGATGTCACCAGACTGACAGCTGACAATTCCAAAATGTAGCTGTTCCAAACTATTGTAACCAGGTGTCCGACTGTCCGTATAGTCTTTGTTGATCACAGATCTTCTGTTTGGCAGCAGTTCAATGTGCAGTAACTATTTGGCCGGGGTGCATGTACACAACGCGGCGAACATTGCAAGCTCTCTGATTGGGTTTCAGCTGTGTCAGGGAGCTCTCTGATTGGCTTTCAGCTGTGTCAGGGAGCTCTCTGATTGGCTTTCAGCTGTGTCAGGGAGCTCTCTGATTGGCTTTCAGCTGTGTCAGGGAGCTCTCTGATTGGCTTTCAGGTGCATTGGGGAGCTGTTTGAGATCTCGGCGTAGATCTGAAGCTGGACTATAAACCAACGTCAAGTGTGTAGACTGAGACTGAGGGAGAGCACAGTGGAAATAGGCACTGAGGAAGGGCATTTTCAGACTATTTTCTGAGCGGTGTGTGCACACAGGTGTGCATGGGGGGTCTATCATTCACCTTCCCAAGAAATCCTGCAAGCGCCTCTGGCTTCACACACATCATATTGACTGCTCATGTCCAACCAGGAAGCACAAGTAGAAATCTCACCAAACTAAAAACTATCTTAAATATATAACGTTGTTTAGTATGTTTTACTGATCTGACGAGTCTAACCTGTCATGTGCACTCACAAGCACTCACCATTGGGCTTTTGAGCTGTACTTTGACCGTCTCCAGCCCACGGGTGCCGTCCTCTTTGGACATTTTACTGGACTCCTTCAGGTCAGAATAGCACATGTGAGAGGGGGAAAGAAGCTATGGGCATTAAGCTAACAGGGGTGCCCTGCTATCTGTGATGTTGATACTTTTGGAGTTTTTGAGACTTACTGACCCCAAAACTGATCGACGAGAATTGATATTTTACTGTACACCACCATATATAGTTCTAGTGTAGTAAGGACAAAGGAGTAGTGTTTTTTGCTAATGTTTTTCCCCAGACTGATTCTGATTAAAACCACTTCACCCAGTACCAAATTTACCAAATTTACCCATGTATTTGAATAAATTGTACCCTCAGTACACATATATTGTTTAGCATATATATTGATTAGCATGCTAGTTCTATACATTTCATTGAGACTGGGCCCAAGGTTACTTGGTACCAAAAAAAGAGTCAAAAAGACTCACTGGCCTGATTGATTCCCATAGGCTGGAAAATTCTAGTTGGGATATGTGTTATGTGACATTAGGTTAACAAAGCAAATACACAAGGTATGAACAAAGGTCTGTACGTAAGAATCTAAAGCAGATTCAGAACAGAAGATCTAATGAACCTCACTGGACCAAATACAAAACAAACACTTGGACTTTTCAAAACCAGCAGTGCCAGAAGCATCAGACTGTATTTATGAAAAATGATCTCTGATGTATGATGTATATAACAAAACAAGAATTATGCATTCAAGAACTATTTTATACATTATTTGTAGCTATGTACTGAGTGTAGCAACACAGAGAACACTGTGACACTGGTGAGGTGTGGCTCTGATACTGACCTCCTTTAAACACTCATCCACCTTTTCCTACAAAACAAAAGAAGATTCATTTAGGACTTTAAGACTTCACTACATGTTTTATGTATGAAAAACTCTTATACAATTCATTACAAATTACATGTATGAAAAACTCTTATTGACCTGAAGAGATCTGAGATTAAACAGTAAATACACAGAGTCTCTAACATTTATGTATTTAAACGTTCACATTGATTTCTACAAAATGCAGATGGATTTTGTTCACGGGCCTGGTCATTAATATGAATGATCAGGTCAAATATAAAATATAATTACACCATTTGAATATTTCTTATATAAATAATGTGTAATCTACAGGTTGTCTTTTAAATTATTTATTCATTTTTAAAATGAGTTGGAGGACAGGCCAGAAGATTTTACTGTCCACATGAAACAAAAAGTGGCACAATGTGGATTAGTTTTCACTTTATGTGTAGTGACCTGAGTGAGCTGCTGCTGCAGCTGGGACACCTGGTCCAGAAGTCCCCTCTGCTCCTGGTGAGACCTTCTCAGACTCTCCTGTAGGCTCTCGTTCTGAAGCTCCAGCTCCTGTCCACACACAAGCACAAGTCACTCACATGGACAATCACACACACACACACGTATGATCACACACATGTGTGATCACACACATGTGAGGTCAGCATGTACAGAGGAGGTACAACACACAGGCAATAACAGGGCAGAGTTTATATCCCTTAAATGTGTCAGGGTTGGGTGCTCAAGAGAAGTACTCTCTGGTACTAACGGGTGCAAAACTGGTATCAAAAATAGATGAAACCAGTCCAGATCTTTCCTGAATCATGGGGATGGTTGCGAAGCTGTGTTGAACAGAAAAACCTTAAATCTCACCAAAATCCATTGATTATTAGAAGATTATATCAAGATTTCATATCATATAGCTCCTTTTCCCACCCTGTTGTTGGTCTATGTGAGTCTGTGGGGTAGGGTTGTCAAAAGCATGAAACCTCAAATTCTCATCAATATTAGTATCGAAACTAGATACTCATTTGAGCAGTTGAGTAGCTTTGGATCTTGAGCTGTATCAGAACAAGCATAAGAACACTCTACTAATAAGAACTCTCAGACTAATATACGCCCATGGAGCACTATGGAACCTACCTGTACAATAAAGGGATTACACAGATATAAGGCCACAATACAAGCGAGAGCGCTATTATTTCATGTTGAAAATCACATTCTATTCTCTAAATAAAGAGTCTTGATAGAGATTATTGTGTATTGACTCTATTCCTTAGTATCAAAATAGAGTTTGTGACAACATTACTATGGGCAGTACTCACATGTATGATCTGATCCCTCCTGTTGAGTTCAACTGGGTCGGGTCTCTCTACTGAATGCTGTAAAAGAGAGGGCAAGACTTTGCATTTGAATAGTAGACATTAAAAGTCCTGAAATAATACATGAATATGACTCCTCCAGCCCATGTCAGAAATGTCTTAGGAACTAACTGGCCGTGTGGGTGGCTCTATTTATATAATAGTCCCCATCTGCCCACAGAAAACACAGAGGGACACGTGACCGCACACGAGTACAGTTACAGAACCATACCTGTCGCTTCCACTGTTCGATCCTCGCCGCGTCTTTCTCTGTTGGACATTCAAAAGAGAGAGTGCATTTAATATCGATGTCAGAAGTATCAAAAATCAGATACTAACTGATACTGAAACTAGTACTGAAACTAGATACTCATAACTTAAAATATCAACAGTTAAAAGTCACGTTCACAGGACAGAAATGAGCCTTTCCTGAATGTATTTAGAATGACCTTTCTCTGTATCGGAACAAGTGTCAGAGCACATAGACTAGTATACACACATGGACCAACATGAACCTACTGCACCACTGAGGATCACACACATATAAGACACATGGAATATAAAAGAAAATATTACCATTTAAAGAGCCCATATTACACCATTTTCTGATCTATGTTGTAATATTGTTTCCTCATCAAAAACATACTGTGTTTTGTTTTATTTGTTCATGGTTAACACACAAATTCTTCTTAAGAATTAACAAAAATACTAGAATATACAGTATATACAGAATATACTGCATATACAGAATATACTGCATATACAGAATATACTGCATATACAGAATATACGGTATATAGTATATATAACAGATAAGATACAAGAATCACGTTTCAGAACATGTTTATACAGAACTGCAGGGTTAAGACTTTCTATGCAGAATAAAACAGGAGATTTTATTCTTGTAGAGGAAATTATTCATTCAAATTTGTCCTTCAAAGATTGCAGCCTTTGCAATTTGCTAATTGCGTCCATTCAAATTGCTTCCATTTGGGTTCATCTCGCAGCTCCATCTCTGAGACACTAAAAACACTTCACACCAACACACCACTCACACCCACAGTGTACACAGATACTGGAAGTGAGGTGGGTTAAGTGTCTTGCACATGGACACAACAACAGTATTTATGTGGGGGTGAAGGGATCAGACCACTCTCCCAATAATGTACTGTCCTTCTGATCAAAGCACGAGCTATAGTTGCCCCAGTATATGTTTGAACAGTAATATTTCATACTGAAAATTATGCAATGATGGCTATAGTGCAGGGTGCCCGAGGGGTGCCCAAAGCAGGGCCTGAGAGCAGCCCAAAGCAGGACCTGAGAGCAGCCCAAAGCAGGACCTGAGAGCAGCCCAAAGCAGGACCTGAGAGCAGCCCAAAGCAGGACCTGAGGAGTACTGAGGTTGGTAAAAATTACTATTTTGATTCAATTTTACAATGAACATACAATCAGTAGATGAGAAGGAACCCATACCTGGTGATTCCCTTAAAAGGTGAACTATGTAACTTTTGGGCTGGGGGTCTGTCACCTGTTTGTTTCATTGCTCTGCCTGGAATGTTCCACAGCATGACATTAAACAGCTCTACCTTACATTTACTAAATTACAAGTGGTTTTATATCTCAAAACTACCTAGAAAAGCATTCTGACTGTGAGCGGGGTCGCCTCTCCACAGATCTGACCTACAACTTGGTCTGGTTTTGTCTTCATGAAGATAGAAAGGTTTAATAACATACTGTGAAACATTCCAGTCAAAGCAATAATATATCCATTTGACAGGCCCTCCACCAGAAAACTCTTTAAAAAGCACAATCATGAAAAGCACTTGCTATAAATATAACATTTTTGTGAATAATATGAATAGGTTAATACATGTTCATGTTAGTTCGCCACTATCTTTCAAATTGAAATTGTAAATAAATGTGTCGCTGTCACTTGGCCACAGTATGGAGCCTGAAATGTGATACAGTAACTCTGATGACAGGATTCCCAGAAGTCGTACCTCTGCTGCTCTTGTCCAGGTGAGCCTTGAGCAGGCCGAGCAGCTCGGGGCTCTTGCTGTGGCGGGCGTAGTGGAAGGCGTCATGGCCGAATGCGTCCTGAGGTCGGAGGTCAGCGCCGCTCTTGAGCAGGACCTCCACAGCGTCCTTACAGCCGTACTCACAGCCCAGGATCAGAGCTGTCCTGTGGGGACACGCAGAGTCAGGTCAAACATCATCTATGACAACACACTACATTACACAGAGCAGTAAGAGCCCGTGTAGTGGGATGTGCAACACGGCAGAAAGAGTCTAAAGGGCTTTAGTCACTCTCCGGTTTAGTTATGATGCTGTTAAAGATCCTATATTACACAATATTAACTCCTGTGAGATTTTAGTCATTTTAATGCTGTTCTCCTCAAAAACAGACCCAGTTGTGTTTGTTCACTCACACGTTTGAGTAATCCTTTATTATCAGAAAATGCTAAAATCATCTGTTTCACCTTTCACACAACTTCTTTAACCTTTAGATCAGTAGACATTGGGAATTCTACTGCTGAAATTATCCTGATGATTTTAGTGAAAATGCATGGACTTTAAAAACACAGTGGAGCACTTCCTGTATTACCACACGACATCACATGGTGGAACAGAGTGTTTTCAGCTTGAGAAAAGAATCTATTCTAAATGTGCAGGTTTGTGTGTTAAACATGTGAAGTCTGTTTGTGATGAGGAAACTACATTATTTAAAGAAGACATTGTACTTATGTCTGTGAATCATTGACACATTTGAATCATTTTTGATATTTTAGCTCAAAACATTGATCTAAAATGAAAATAAAATAATAATAATAAAAGGGTTGCGCTCAATGGGAGGCGACATCGCAGTATACGTCATCACAACAAAGAGGCATGCATGAGTAGGCCGCTCCTCTGGATACCTGCACACCACACTAACCAGCGGCTGATTCTATTCATTTACTTGTTTTCATTTTCTTCACTTGTGCCAAAATGACTACATGACAATGCTGACGCGTATTAACAACTGGAGAAAATTGGAGAAGGAAATGTGTCCGCCACAGTGGGGGCGAACCGGAGGAGCTGCAGACGCGGGTAGATCAGAGCACTGACGTCTTGAATAGAGGAGAATAAAGATTACTCCAACAACATGCATGAATCATGAATTCTAAATACAACTCTGGATGAGGGGAAACAACTATGTGCGTGTGTGTGTGTGTGTATTTGTATGTGTGTGCGCATGTGCGTGTGTGTGTGTGTATTGGGGTGTGTGTGCGTATGTGTGTGTGTATGTGTGTGTGTGTGTGTATGTGTGTGTGTGTGTGTGTGTGTGAGTGTGGTGACTGTAACCAACTGATACAGAAGAGATAAGGGAAAGGAATAATAAAGTAATACAAGTCAAATAAATAAAGGAAAAGGAAAGTTCCTCTGTGAGTGTGTTTGTGTTCAGAGCAGGGCTGTTCAGATCATTTGTTTACGTGATAATTGTTCTTTTTCAGATAATATAATTGGAACAACTGTCCCATACTTTTAGAAGAAACATCTGGTTTGTCTGGACACACACTGACAATAGTAATTAGAACTGTATTTCCTGGCTGGACATGAGCAGCAGATGTGACTTGCACAGAGAAAATTCACTAATGGTTACCTAGAAACTAAAATGTTAAAGAGGGGCATTTGAGTTCGACTGCTAATACATTTAGATCTTTGTTATGTTTTGACCAAAAACAACTAATCTGCAGTACTTCTTGCATTTTTATACTTTTCTTCAACTTTTTCCTACAAACTTAAGTCACTTAACTGATATAACACTATGATAAATACTGAGCACAGGTACTATCCACCAAACCAACATGAAAACCTGTCACTTGCTCCACTACAACAAACTGTCTGCGAAATGGTTCTTTCTGTCATATTGAACGTATGACATGACGAGTGCTGACAACAGCAGGCAAAGCCAAAACACTGTTTGGTCAGTAATAAGTAAGAGTGAATAATTGTACAATCGTGATGCTTCTTCTCACTATTGAGGGAAGGACTCAATGTTGACTGACAGGATGACGTGACCATTTGAGAGAAGACTTAAGAAATCTGAACTTTAAACTAATCCAACAATCCCAGGCATTTCATAACATGTTTGCAGAGGTCGACAGGACAGACTTGGCACATTTGTTTTTGTTTGTTGGTTCGTTTTTGTGACAGATGGAGATAGAAGCAAAACACAATTTAAAAATGATGAGCAGATTATTATTTTTTTGTATTAAAATTTCATCTAAATTTTGTATTGAACAGTTCTCTTGAGTAAAAGCTGTGCTTCCTTTTCTCACTATGAATGAGTCTAAAGTTACAAAAACTTGATGTGACAATCTGAAATGACGTGTGTTTCTGCAGTGTTCCTTCAAATGTGATTTAGCTTGTCTCATTTTTGTGTCTGTCCTTTGAAAGGACAGATTTTGTGCATCATTTAATGTTTTGTGCTTCAAATACATCATCCTGACAGTTACTCTAACTTGAGAAGTAGTTTTTTCAAATACTGTTTTACTCTTACATGAGTAATTTTCATGGGTCACAACTTTGTACTTCTACTTGAGTAATATTATTCTGAAGTAATGCTACAGTTCCTTTGACTCCTCTACCAGCTCTGTTGCTCTGAGTGGGCTCACGGTGTTTCATTTCACTGGGATAGACACATATCTTGTAATGATAGTCATGTAACATGCCTGGTGCCTGTGCAGCTCATGTACAGTGACTCACACACAGTCTGGAGCAGTCACATCTGTGTACATGTTAGTCATGACAGGATTTCACAGTAAACACGGTTATTTACACTGTATACAACTAGAATTATTATTGGCCTGGATATGAGCAAAGCAACAAACTGCAGCCTTAGCCAGGCCTGTCACAATAACACATCCTGAAGCACGACATACAGAACATGCTACAGAGATATACTGCGAGAAATGATAGTACTGAAACTACTTTATGTCACTCATACAAAACACAAATATAACACAAATGTAAACCATTTTGAAATAGACAGGATTATTAAATGGCCTGAGCTGCAGCAAATAAACAGCAGAATGAAGCAATAATAAACCTCAGAAGTGACTTATTCAACCCTGTGCAGTTCAAATCTGATCATAAAATACCCCAAATCTCCATTTTTACAAAGAAAAGCTACACACAATAAATACTGAGCCCCAAAAATCTAGTGATCCAACTTTCATATATTGAACAATAAACTGATAAACTGTGACAGGCCTAGTCTTAGTCTTACAGTTGTACATATTAAAATAATACACATGTGGGATAATGTTTGGAAACTTGTCATTACGGCTGGGCAATTCATATTTAATCAAGATTGACATTAGTGCTGTCATGAAAATTTCAAACGTGATTTCGATACTAATGAATAAGCTCAATATTTCATACTGATTCCAATGCAACAATGATAATAAATAAATAAACACAGTCAGTTGTGGCACTTTCTTCTTAATGGACAGATCCACAGTCAGTCCTCTGTCAGGACAAGCATGAGGTCTGGAGCAGAGGAAAACCTTTTTTTTCTTTTATATATATATATATATATATATATATATATATATATATATATATATATATATTTTTTTTTTTTTTTTTTTTTTTTTTAAGTTGTGCCATACTGCCCAGCTCCATTTGTAATATTGTTTTTTAAATATTGTTTATAGCAACATCTGGTTTATAATTTGAAGTGAATGTAAACGGAAACACAAAACATTAAATAATGCAACTAATCTGGTATTTTGAATGGACGGACACAGACACACCCAGTACTGCCCACCTCTGCTTATATAGATTACTGCAGTATCAGCCTGTGATAATAGTACTGGTACTGCGTGTCATGTATTGTGATATGTTGTGATGTCTGGTAACAGACAGTGTTCATAAAGCTGCCTCACTTGTTCTGCTTGTCTCGGATGGTGATGTCTGCTCCTCTCTCCAGCAGCAGCTGACAGATCCTGGGGTGACACATCTGTGTGGCCAGCACCAGAGGAGTTCTTCCGTCCTGTAACACACACACGCACGTGTACACACAGATCCTAATTAATCATCATTCTGAAACCCCTTAGTTAAAAAGAAAAAAAAACAAAAAAAAACACTCCTATAGTACAGTCCCTGACAAAAGTTTTGTCGCTTATCCATTTTGTAGAAACAAAAGCTTATAACCTGACTTTAAATTAATTGATTGGTTTTAGAAATGTCTCATATGAAGCTAAAACCCTCCCAAATTATGCTCAATATACTAAAATAAATTTGCTTCACTGAAGAAAGATTGATCATTTCATGAACACAGAAAGGTCAGATTTTGGCAAGACAAAGTTTTGTCGCCTACAGAAAATTGAACAAATAATTTACTTCAAATACAAAAATATGTTGCATAACGTCAGTGAATTAAGTAGTGGTGCTGTGAGATCCATATTTAATATCTTGTATGACTCCATGAGCTTGAAGGACGCATCCATGCGGTTCAACAGTGATTCATACAATTTGTTGATGAAGTCATCAGGAATAGCAAAGAAAGTGTCTTACATGCCTCCCAGAGTTCATCAAGATTCTTTGGTTTTGCCTTCCATGCTTCCTCTTTCATTCTACCCCAGACCTGCTCAATGATGTTCATGTCTGGTGACTGGGCTGGCCAGTCCTGGACCACCTTGATCTTCTTCACCTTGAGAAACTTTGATGTAGAGATAGAAGTATGTGATGGAGCACCATCCTGCTGCAAAATTTGACCCCTTTTATGGTTGGGAATGTAAGAGGAGCTAATACTTCTTGATTTTTTAGGTTATTGATATTTGCCTTCCACCCTGCAAATGTCTCACACATCCCCATACTGGATGGAACCCCAGACCATGATTTTTCCTCCACCAAACTTAACTGTTTTCTGGGTGAATCTTGGATCCATGCGGCTCCAGTAGGTCTCCTGCAATATTTGCGGCGGCTGTGATGTAATTCAACCGAGGATTCATCTGAGAAATCCACCTTCTGCCACTTTTCCAGTGTCCATCCTTTTAGCAGGCTGTGGGCCTTGGCAAATGCCACACATGGTTTTTTAATTGCCTTTTGTTTAGTGCTGGTTTCTGTGCACTGATTCGACCATGGAGGCCATTTCCAGACAGAATTCTACAAACTGTTCAGGCTGACACAGGGACTTGAGGTGACCAGGTCTGGTGGAGCTCTGCTGCAGTGGAAAAGGGGCTGGCCTTGGAATCAACAAACGGTCCTCCCGAGCAGTTGTCTTGCGGCGTCTGCTGGACCTGGGCTTGTCAAAAACATCTCCAGTCATTTCAGATCTTTTTCTTATTCTTTGTACTTGACGCTGAGACACATTGAAGGTGTCACCACCTCAGCAGTGGATCTGGTCTTCAGCCTCTTGATAATTAAGGCTTTGGTCTCAGGGTGGATCTTAGGCATGTTGTCAGAGGTCAAGTTGCAGTTGATGTGAAGGTCTGGTGTGCTGGGTTCTTTTTATACACAAACACTAACTGATTGATCAGTAACTGATCACAGGTGAGGCTGTAATCTAGGATTGGGTGCATCATATGACAAGACGGCAAGACTTTTGTCTTGCCAAAATCTGACCTTTCTGTGTTCATTAAATGATCAATCTTTCTTCAGTGAAGCAAATTTATTTTAGTATATTGAGCATAATTTGGGAGGGTTTTAGCTTCATATGAGATATTTCTAAAACCAATCAATTAATTTAAAGTCAGGTTATAAGCTTTTGTTTCTACAAAATGGATAAGCAACAAGACTTTTGTCAGGGACTGTATTTAAAAGAAAAGAAACACGTTGGGCGTTTATGTGGTCGTATTTGAGGTCTGTTGTTTTGTATTTTCTTTTAACCCTTATATTGTGTTAGGGTCAAAATTGACCCGTTTCAAGTTTAGGTATGTAAAAACTGCCATTTGCTTTTTTGTACCGGAATGAGGCTTCATCTAATCCTCAGACACAACTATTTTAACGCAACAAAATCAATTTTCACCATTTTAGTAAATTGTAAAGGTCTGAAAAAAAAAAAGTGACATCTGTGGTGTTACGGGTCAAAAATGACCCGGCAGAGAATAGTGGCTGTTTTATGCATCACTTACAAGCTGTAGGCTGCTCTGTGGATCAAATATGGCTCAGTGTGTCCACACACACACACACACACACACACACACACACACACACAGACACACACACACACACACACACACACAGACACACACACACACACACACACACACACACACACACACACACACACACACACACACACACACACACAGACACAGACACACACACACACACACACACACACAAAAAGGTCGTCTTCACCCACGTGAACTCTTCTCTTTCTTGCAGCACATTGATACATTTTGAATCTAAAATAAACCTTGTCATATATAAACAGGGTTTTAGTGAGATATTATCAGCTGTATTCTGTTGCAGCATCAGTCAACATGAGCAGGTTCACTGTTTATGAGGCGCTGGATCAGATTTTTGGTCATGACAGTGATTCTGAAGACAGAGAGGAAAGTGAAGCTGAGGAAGATGTGTCTGAGGATGAGGATGAGGGCACAGACTGAATAAAAGAAGTGGACTAAGTGAGTGTGACGTCACCCACAGCGTTTGGCGCCGCTCAAATGAAGCTCACGGTTACAGGAGCGAATCTAGAGCCAGGTTATATGTTATGAATAGGATTTTTTTGGATGGACAAAACAGCCAAAAAAAAATAAAAAAATCAGGATCATGTGTCGCAGGTTAATACGTATATTTTAAGACCAAAATGACGAGGTTCACAGCAGCAGGTACAGAGAGAAGGACGACAAGATCCTAACATAAGTCAATTGGAGCCAGAGTCAGAAGGAGCCGGAAGAGCCTCCTGGAGAACTTTCTATTTGGAACGCGGTGGCTACAGCGTTAGTTATGTCCATTCATATATACGTCTGTGGATGAGGATGAGGTTCAGTATGACCCTGAACAAGAGCACACATGTGGTGAGGAGAACCCAGATGTCACAAAGACTGAAAGAGACGTCTTCAAGTCAAGAAAAAGTGACAGTTCATGGTCACCAAGCCTCTTGACACCCAATATAATTATACTTATATAAATTAGATTTATATTATATGTATTATATATAAAATTATTATGATTATAGTATAATTATATAATATAATTACAAATTTTATCACTATAGGAAATATAATTAGTGAATTTAAGCAGTTTTTGTAATCAAAAACGAGTGGTATATTTTAAGATAAAAGGTCTGTGCAGCCAAAAAATAAAAATAAAATAAAAATGTTTCCATGGACATGAACACATACTAAGTTAGTTATGAGGGGAAAAACAATATTGGATGATATCTAGTGTTTTTAAGTATTTTCAGGCTGAGTTAAATCACGGGTCAAATTTGACCCGGTAACACTAAAGACGCGTGTAGCTTTCTAACACAATACAAGGGTTAAAATGGTTGACATAGTGGACTTGTGTATCTTTCTAGTTTATTCTTTCTATCATCACATGATCAGAACAAAGCACACAGTGGGAGAACAGTGCAGACTGTGGGTGTGGATCTTACAAAGTCGGTGGCGTTGACGGAGGCACCGCTGTCACACAGGAGCTTGACACTGGAGGAGCAGCCGGCCATCACTGCACCAGAGGAGAGCACGGTGAGAGGAGAAGCGAAAACTCACAACACTATGACCACTGAGGAGCTGTGGATGTATTCCACAAACACATGGGTCTATTCAAGTCTGTTCAGTCCGTCTATTCAATCAGTGAGGCATTCAACGACACACAGACTTCTTTCTTTAGATGTACATGGTTTAAACAGATCCATCATCACAGGCGGCTGAGAAGCACAGTGGAAATGTTGCTGCAGCAACTTCAATTTGTCTCAAGATCAATAAAGCATCTCTCTCTTTATTTTAATGGAATATCTGTCATTATGATTCTGAATTAGAAACTTTCATAAACATGACCTACCTGTGCCCCCACATACAAGAGAAACATGTTCAAAACTAATATACCAGCAGCTTTTACTGACAACTAAACTAACGCTAATTTATTCTGAATTACAAAAACACTGGACATGTTACATTTTGGTCTTTTGGTTCAAGATGATTAACTCATCAGAAAGCAGAATGAGCCGGACATGAGTCGCTCCTTTCAATGCTGAAATGGTTTAAATTTAAAATGTCTCTCTCTGATCTAATAGTCTCTCCCTAAACCCCAGCCCCTGCACCAGTCATGAGTCAGTGCTAGTGCAGCCTCTGCAGCTCAGGGAGGGAATTCTGGAGGCTCTGAGCTTCACATGAGGCCTGACCTGCCCATATATTCTGTCCATATACACTCAAATCGGATTCATATCATTTTTTTGGAGTTCTGGATTCAAATGAAATGTAATCAGCAAAATAATCAAATTTCTTTTTGATCATGGTCCCTCTGATGACTCACATCAGATTTTGCAGTTTACTTGCCATTTCAGTCATGCTAAAGTTCCCGAAATCCAATTATAATCAGATATGGTGTGTATGTGAACAAGGCCAGTGAAGCCACTGTGCCCCTAAGCGACCGGGTTAGCAGCTTTTACACACAACAAAACAGAAGAATACACTATTTATGTTCAAAGATCAGCCAATTGCACCCAATCAAACTGCAATTTGAACATGTTTGTGATGCTGGCTGCCTCACAGATATGTTTTTGAAGCATTGGTCCGTGTTTATTGAATGGACAGGTCCTTTCAGGTGCAGAGGCTGTGCTCTGTGCTCTGTGTGTGTGTGTGTCTGTGTGTGTCTGTGTGTGTGTGTCTGTGTGTGTCTGTGTGCTTGTATAATAGCACCTGATGTGATTGGCTTCAGTGTATGAGGGGCCTCACCAGCGTCATGGAGAGCTGTCCGTCCCTGTAAGTCCACGTTCCCCACGGGGCAGTTGTGCTGAAACCAGAGAACACATTAAAACACATGACGGGATGCTGTGGGGAACACATCCAAGTGTGATTTTTTGGACAAGCACTGGGATTCTGACTAGAGTTTACGTTTTAGTAAAGTACTGAAGAAAAGGTGTAATAAACAAATACGAGACAATCTGTCAATCATTCATCATCAGTCATTGAGTATTAAGTATTTTCTTTAGTATCGAAATCAAGTTTGAAATGTTAGTCTAGTGACGTGACAACACTAATTCAGTCAAGAAGAATGAGCAAAAAGACTAAAATAAGAATTACAGAACAAACACATTTAGAGATTTAAACTAAAGGCAGTTTGAAACATTACAACATCACACTCTATAAGAATTTGTTGAACTTTTCATGTTGTTTAAATATACAAGCAGCTCTTCAGCTTCAGTGCTCTTGTATTTTCATTGGAACTCACTCATCTGCAAAGACACATCTGATGCACAAACTGGGACTGACACAGACACACAGACAGCTACACGTACTACACTTTTTTTCTTTTCTTTTTTTTTGCCAAATCAAGCCACTACAGAACAATTAAATATTTGTCTGTGATGTCCCACACTATGGCATTAAAGGGCATGTAACTGATTTTGTGAACACAATGTCATTCCCCAGTCCAGATCTACTGTAGAAGCAGCTCTTGAGGTCAAAATAAGTCCACTGTGTACTGTCTGCATCTAATTATAAAGTGTTTTATTGTCCATTTATAGTTTATTGATCTAATCTGGAAGTGTGTGTATGCATGCTAGTTGTTGTTAGCATTACCATCATAGCAAAACTCTCTGAGAGTTGTGAAAACCACTCATCTCATCTCAAAGTGGAGAATAGGATTCTTAGAATGCAAAAGTCAGGAATCATTTTGGGCCACTGTAAACTGTTTAAAATGAACTAGCTTTGTTTTTCAGAACACATTTTCTGTTTACATTTTCAACATTAAATAGTAGTACTTTCTTTTATATTACTTAGTGTCAGATTTTCTGTAGTTTTGACAACTGTAATCTGCTCGTCTTCCTGGAAAAAGACATGTTTTGGTACATTCTAGGCAAAGCAATAACATCTCCATAGAGACAGAAGACAAATACTCAACCAGCAAAGTTTCACGTATGTTGAGATACTTTTGCATCGATACAGAAACTCTTGAAAACTATCCAAAGCGATGTAGGTCAGCTGAGGCGAGAGGACTGTGTGTATTTACAGTGGGCTCACGGTGGCCCTGCTCTGGACACTGTGGGAGGCGGTGCTAACAGGGGCCTCATGTTGCTGGGGAGGTTTGGCCCCTGGCGAGCCCCTCTAAAAAAAAACACTCTCTCTGGCAACAGCGAAAGAAATTAGCCGGCTGATCTGGTGTCAAACGCAGGGGGGAGGGGGGCTGGGAAATCCTACACTGAGGGACGGGCTTGAAGGCAGCGGGGAAGGGGCATCCAGCTGCTGCTCTGTCTGATGCAGAGGCCAGTGGGCAGAGGAAAAAACAACAACAACAACAACAAAAACTTCTAGTGAGTTACAATAGAAATACAAGAGCATGACACTAGTTCCCACATGAAAGTACTTTTGTATCTGTTTTTCCAAAGTAAAAAAACAACATCTTTTCTTCCATCCGTGGACTGTTATTGGTTTTGAAGTGTACACACTGATAATGGTGAACCTCATTTTCACACATGATGGAGCCAGACTGACCTGCAGCAGCTTCTGCACACACAGGGAGTGTCCGTTCCTCGAGGCCAGGTGAAGAGCATTTTTACCTGTCAGAAACAGAACAGGGCTTTACATTAGAGTGAGAAAAGACACAGTGATGGACATGAATATGATGTTCATTCATGAAGGTTCCTTAGAGACACAGTAGGTCTTTCCATGGGTTTAAGAATAAATTAATAATGATGATAATAATAATAATAATAATAATAATAATAATAATAAAGTATTAGTAGTAGTAGTAGTAATAGTAGTAGTAATAGTAGTAGTAATAGTAGTAGTAGTAGTAATAGTAGTAGTAATAGTAGCAGTAGTAGTAGTAATAGTAGTAGTAATAGTAGAAGTAATAGTAGTAGTAGTAGTAGTAGTAGTAGTAGTAGGAGTAGGAGTAGGAGTAGTAGTAGTAGTAGTAGTAGTAGTAGTAGTAGTAGTAGTAGTAGTAGTAGTAGTAGTAGTAGTAGTAGTAGTAGTAGTAGTAGGAGTAGGAGTAGGAGTAGTAGTAGTAGTAGTAGTAGTAGAGTAGTAGTAGTAGTAGTAGTAGTAGTAGTAGTAGTAGTAGTAGTAGTAGTAGTAGTAGGAGTAGGAGTAGAGTAGTAGTAGGAGTAGGAGTAGTAGTAGTAGTAGTAGTAGTAGTAGTAGTAGTAGTAGTAGGAGTAGGAGTAGGAGTAGGAGTAGTAGTTAGTAGTAGTAGTAGTAGTAGTAGTAGGAGTAGGAGTAGGAGTAGGAGTAGGAGTAGTAGTAGTAGTAGTAGTAGTAGTAGTAGTAGTAGTAGTAGTAGTAGTAGTAGTAGTAGTAGTAGTAGTAGTAGTAGTAGTAGAAGACAGAAGAAACATTGTTGTTATCACCTTGTGATGTCATGTGGTAATACATGAAGTGCTCTACTGTATTTTTAAACTCCACACACCTTCACTAGAATCATTTGGATGATTTCAGCCATGGAATTGCCAATCTCTACTGAACTAAAGGTAAAGGATAGTTGTTAACCTGAAAACTATCACATCATGACATCACAACAGGGACAGAGGAACAGAGCATTCTGAGCTTTGACTAATCCTGCATTATTAATCTGTCTACATCTCCAAACATGTGTGAATCAAACAAACACAAATGTGGTTATGTTTTTGACAGGTAACAACACTCTAACATGGTTTAAACTCACAAGTCGATTTTGAGTAATATGAGATCTTTAAGTGTCAGATTGCAGATTTCTTGATTGTTGCTTTATGGTTCATATCTCTGATTACTGAGCCTATGAAAAGAAATAAAAGCAACACTGACATAAATTAGATCAGAGCTCTGTGCATGTAACTGAGCTGTGTGCTTGTTTCAGTAGAGCAGTAGAGTCTGGACACAAGTGTACAGAGTGAAAAGGAGGAGACAGTTGTCTTATACAGGGCTTTTCCAGACACTCAAAGTGGCTTTACAATTTGGTGCATTAGTCATTCATTCATTCCATACATGGTGGTGATAAGATACTACAGTAGCCACAGCTAAATGGACTTGAATGTTATTAGCTCCTGAGGCTGGGGGAAGCGGTCTGCCAATCTGCACTATCTGTCCCTCCAACTGACACTCATAGACCCCACTGTAGCCTCTGATTTTCCAGTGATCTTCCATCAAAGTCCTGACCAGGCCTGGTCCTGCTGAGCTCCAGAGATCTGACCAGATCAGGCTTTGACAAGGAGGTCTGGCCACGCAAATTAGGATCATTGCCATTGTGTCTGCTCACAGTTTGTGAAAGGCTAAGCAGATATATCATTTTAAACCATCTGCTAAAAATAAATAAATAAAAAATAATAATAATAAAGAAATAAAGAAAAAACACTAATAGCCATTGTCATTGTGTTCTTGGGTAACACAACTCAAGCACCTGAATGCTTCTCAGTGGATGAATGTGGTGAGAGAATGAGTGCACATAAACAGCCTTACTTCTGCCAGTCTTACATTGTACAGAGTCGATTATGGAGCATTTACAAATCCATACCATACTCTGTTGTAGTATAGAATATATCAGGGCTAAGGACTACTTAGTTTTAAAGACCCTAAAATGCACTAGACAGAATTTGAACTCAGTCCATAGATTTTTATAATGCACTAAAAGAACGCTGAATACTGAAATAGGACAACAACAACAACCATAGACAAATTCTTCTCTATAAAATTAGATTCAAAGGTCCTATATTATGCTCAATTGACTTGAATGTTATTACCTCCTGAGAAACATACCTGGAGTTGGGTTTATGTCAGTAAAGCTAGTCTGTCTACATCTCCAAAGCTCCAAATGCTCTGTTCCACCTTGTGATGTCATAGAGCAGTAGTTTAAGTTAACAGCTTCCTTTAGTTCAAGGTTGTATAGAGGATTTTTTAAGGGAAGAGAGGTACAGCGACAGTCCTTTTTCAAATGTTGTGCATGCGTGACACCACCTGCCTCCTAAACAGCTCCCTCACTAGAAACACCTCCTCCCGCCTCTTTACTCTAGAAATCACGTTTACATCCAGTGCGTGTTCAGAATTACTGTTGAAGTGACCTGTCTAGAAATAATTTAGCGACCGACGCGTCAGTTTTTAGACCCTTCGTCTGCTTCATTCGCGCAATCGCTGGAAGAGATCTCCAAGAATCACCTCAGTTTGTCTTTGCTCTTTTTCCCCTTCTCTTTGTCTTTCAGCGACCTCAAAAACGGCTTTTCTTTTGCGGCGAACTGGTCATCGATTCTCGTCCGCCATCGCAACAAACTTGCAAACTATGCAAACTGCGAGGAAGCGACGGTTTGAAAAAGCCTCTAAGAACCGCTGCATAAACCATGTAATCCCCGCGCGCCGACGACTCAGTTACACTAGAAACGTAGGGAGTTTGATTGACGACCTAACAGCCAATAGAAAATGAGGTAGTCTTGTTTTCTATTGGCTGATGTTTATCTGCTCTCACTACGTCCACAGCTGATAGATTTTCATTCTTTTTTTTTTTTTTTTTGGTCATCATAATTACAAGGCTGCTGCATCTCTGTAATAGTATTTTAAACTTTCATTGACAATTTGAAACAAAAAAATAATAATCCTCCATGCAACCTTTCAGTAGATATTGGTAATTTGAGGGCTGCTTGTTGTGGATTGTGGAGTGGTTTCTTTCACAGGATCACATCAGAATGTAGACACAGAGCAGACATGATCTATCCAGGCTTTGCTAACAGGACACTTATTAGGACAGTGAGTGCTGCTGAGAGGTGATGCAGTCTTTTCAGTTTCAGCAGTTATTTGAAGTTATAGAGTTGAGAAAAGTGTTTGCTATTTATTAATGAATCTGCGTGGAAAGGATCTGTCTGTATTTTTATGGCTGACATTCTTTCTGATTAAAGGTGCATAATGAAACAGTTCTTTAACTGAAATAAAAACACTGGTGGTGTTTCCTTCCAGATGCAAAAGGAAGCTACCTTTCCCCAGTTTTCATCTTAAATAAAGTATTTATTTTATAGCTGTGTTTTTATAAATACACGCTATATTTGAGCGGAGAACCATAGTGTGGAGAATGAGGAGTTTGTACATCAGGAGTGACTTCGACATGGGCGGTGCCAGTGTGTGAGCGGTCTGAGCTGTGACAGGGGAAGCTTGTGTGTGTTTGTCATCCAACCCATCTGACAAATGACATGACAGTATCGGTATCACGTAGTTTAAAGCGTTTAGGGAGCGGCACTTTTAAATTAGCAACATCATCATCTTGAATGAATGAAAGTGATTAAAATATATGGAGGGTTGTGATTTAGAATATTTGCTAAAAACAATTTCATCAAGCTTGCACATTGCACCAAAAATGTGTGTTCGGGTGGATACTGTATATTGAAAGTGTAATTTTCAAATAACTGTACTCTTAATACAATAATTACACTTTTACTCACCTGTACTTTGCTGATGCATCTATTTATTACAAAACACTCCACTGTTGCACACACACTCACATGCAGACACCACAGGTGTGGGGATAAGGGGAGGGGGCTGGACTCACCTGTGGCGTCGGTGGCTGTGATATCCACATTGTGTCCCAGGATGAGGTTCAGGCAGTCTAGATGCCCCCTGGTGGCCGCCAAGTGAAACCTATGAGATGAGGAAGAGAGAAAATCTGAGTTTTAATGTCTGTTTCTGAGTAAAGGTTCATAGTTTGTGAAGACATATCCGTGAGGCGAATGCTCTTGTGGTTCACGTGACACAACATTCTAGAACCCCTCTGGTGTAAACTGAGCTGGAGGACAGGGCAGAATTCCAGTGGAATTCACTGTTTAAAAGGCCCACATTCTGTTATTTTCTGATCTACATTATAATGTTGTTTGCTCATCACAAACAGACCTCGAGTTGTGTTTTGTTTCATTCTTACATATTTAACACACACACCTTCACTAGAATCATTTGGATGATTTCAGCCATGGAATTGCCAATCTCTACTGAACTAAAGGTAAAGGATAGTTGTTAACCTGAAAACTATCACATCATGACATCACAACAGGGACAGAGGAACAGAGCATTCTGAGCTTTGACTAATCCTGCATTATTAATCTGTCTACATCTCCAAACATGTGTGAATCAAACAAACACAAATGTGGTTATGTTTTTGACAGGTAACAACACTCTAACATGGCTTAAAACTCACGAGTCAATTTTGAGTAATATGAGATCTTTAAGTGTCAGATTGCAGATTTCTTGATTGTTGCTTTATGGTTCATATCTCTGATTGCTGAGCCTATGAAAAGAAATAAAAGCAACACTGACATAAATTAGATCAGAGCTCTGTGCATGTAACCATAGTGACGGCTGCTTGTATCAGTAGAGCAGTAGAGTCTGGACATAGTTGGCCTCTGCTACATGACGCAGCACTTTGAAAGGTAAAAGCTGTTATGGTGTCAAACATGAGGAGGAGTGAATGTGAGGGAGAGCCAGAGTGTCTGGAGAAATCATTAGCTCAGAAGTGGGTGGGCCTCATTTCAACCTGCGACCTTCTGATGCACAGAGAAACACTGTTCAGTAATTATGGGTGAACAGTCTCCACAAATCATGTCTGGTTTAAAGTAGAATGACTCAACATGACACTTTGTACAAACTAACAGGCTATTTTCACTGAAGTATGCTGTATTTGTTACTGTGTCAGTGACATTCTAGTCTTATCACTACATAATCTCACTTAAAGAAGTCGTATTGTGCTTGTGTCTGCTCTACAGTTCTAATCCATGACACCCGTGCTTTATTCTGTTATCATTTGCACATTTTAATATCACAATATTGATCTAAAAAGACTTAAAAGAAACATTAGAAAACTGTGGTGCCCAGTAGGGCTGTCGAGATAAACGCAAAAATGAATCACCACGTTACTAAGAGGCCCACGGCAATCACCACATGTGACCAACGTGACCCGACCCAGACCTGCACCCGCCTGGATCCGTTAACATTCCACCCGTTACTGCCAGTGCCAGTACCCAGCACTAACCCAGGACTAACCCAGGACTAACCCAGGACTAACCCAGGACTAACCCAGCACTAACCTAGCACTAACCCAGGACTAACCCAGGACTAACCCAGGACTAACCCAGGACTAACCCAGGACTAACCCAGGACTAACCCAGGACTAACCCAGCACTAACCAAGCACTAACCCAGCACTAACCCAGCACTAACCCAGCACTAACCCAGGACTAACCCAGGACTAACCCAGGACTAAGGGGCTGCTGCATAGGCCGTTGGGTGACCAGAGGCGAAAGGACCAGGGCAGAACTTCACAACGCACGGAGGTAAGTGCGGCCGTCGCCCGATAGCGATTTGCGGACACCCAGCTCTGTGTGCTCGGGGTTCTCTCTCTCTTAGGTCCATGGCTACCCGACCTGGTGCAGGACTCTGACCCGACCTGGTGCAGGACTCTGACCCGACCTGGTGCAGGACTCTGACCCGACCTGGTGCAGGACTCTGACCCGACCTGGTGCAGGACTCTGACCCGACCTGGTGCAGGACTCTGACCCGACCTGGTGCAGGACTCTGACCCGACCTGCCACACTGAGAGCTGGAGAGATGCAGCGGCACTTGTTCAAAAGCCAAATTTGACTTCTCCCTTTTGGGAGCACACACTATATCCGTACAACAACCAAGGTACATGTACATCTGCGCAACAAGAACATCATCAGAGTTTTCAGTGCTGCTGGAAATATTGTAACTCCTGAGGGTGGGGGAGGGGGGGTGGTATCACCGCATACCGAGGTGTTGAGCTGCTACACTGCACCGCAGGACAAATTCCCTAACGGCGCCAGCCCTAGTGCCCAGTGAGAGCTGATGTCGCAGTAAACGTCATGACAACAGACCTGCGTTAAAGGGGTCATTGTAACATAACATGTAACATGCTTCCATGGATGCAAGTGACCGTACTTTAGAAGTGTCGATGAAGCTAGATACAGAGTAACATACCGTTTCTTAGTACAGATACTTATACATTATAGAGTACTTTTACTTAGTTCATTTCCACTCCTGTATTTCCCTGCACACAGATGGAGCTGCCATCTTAATTGAGCAGTGGTTTGAAGACCACACTTGCCAACGTGTCTTTAATCATCACTTTGGCTGGAAACAGTAGCTTTCGTCTCCCTCCTCTGATGGCTCCAGCACCCAAAGCTGGAGCCAAGAGCAAAGCAGGAGGGTCTGGGGGTCAGGGGGGTATGGGGTGTGTGTGTGTGTGTGTGTGTGTGTGAGTGTGTGTGTGTGTGTGAGTGTGTGTGTGTGTGTGTGTGTGAGTGTGTGTGTGTGTGTGTGTGTGTGTGAGTGTGTGTGTGTGTGAGTGTGTGAGTGTGTGAGTGTGTGTGTGTGTGTGAGTGTGTGAGTGTGTGAGTGTGTGTGAGTGTGTGAGTGTGTGTGTGTGTGTGCGTGTGTGCGTGTGTGCGTGTGTGAGTGTGTGTGTGTGTGTGAGTGTGTGAGTGTGTGTGTGAGTGTGTGTGTGTGAGTGTGTGAGTGTGTGAGTGTGTGAGTGTGTGAGTGTGTGAGTGTGTGTGTGTGAGTGTGTGAGTGTGTGAGTGTGTGTGTGTGAGTGTGTGAGTGTGTGAGTGTGTGTGTGTGTGAGTGTGTGAGTGTGTGAGTGTGTGAGTGTGTGTGTGTGAGTGTGTGAGTGTGTGAGTGTGTGAGTGTGTGTGTATTGAGTGGTGGTGGGGGTGGTGGGGCTGTAAATCTATCTAGCGTGTGGTCACATGAACCTGCTTATGCCCAGCCGGAGCTATCTGCCAAGGAGACAGAGCGGCTGACACCTCCGCAGCGCCGGGGTATTAAAAGCCGTGTTGATGGCCAGGAGAAGGTGCTCCTCCGGGGGGCGCCGAGGGGTCCTGACCTCCCAGGATCAGGAGCAGACAGGCAGTCACACAGCCCACCCCCTCACACTACTTCCAAGTACAAGTGTATGTAGCCGAGCACAGAGGAGGAGAAAGACTGACTAGACTGAATGTGTACAGGCTGAGGCAGGAGAGTGTGAAGAGGCAACAGAACAATGACCTGGACACAAATGGTTGCAAAATGTGAACTGTAATAGTGTCTGATAGTCTAGATTAACAAAACAAACTATTATAAACAGTGTGGACTTGTTGGAAAACTGTGGAGGTGTGGAGCGTGGACGTGTGGAGTGTGGACTGTGTGGAGGTGTGGAGCTGTGGAGTCTGGAGGTCTGTGTGGAGGTCTGTGCGGAGGTCTGTGTGGAGGTCTGTGTGGAGGTGTGGAGGTCTGTGCGGAGGTGTGAGGTCTGTGTGGAGGCCTGTGTGGAGTCCTGTGTGGAGTCCTGTGTGGAACACCTAATGCAGGAGAAGAGCACATTTCACTCTGTCAGTGGCTCCTCACACCTGCTGCGTGGCCCTTCAGGTTGACACACAGGATCCTGCTGCTATTTTAAACCCAGCAGAGGGACAAGTGGCTCTGAGAGGCACAACTACTCCTCCATCATAATGTCAGAGCCACGTCAGCCTGCACAGCCACAGCATCACATGAACGACACAATATGTGTCATCCAAATATGAAAACTGTGACAAAACTATGTATTTATAGCACTGTCTTAAAGTGCAGAGTGCACAGAGACATTAGCAGCAAGAAAGGTTAAGTGTTTTTTGTCCAAGGACAACAGATTATTTGCAGCCAGTAGTGAAGACTGAACGGCCAACCTTCTGTTCCAGGGACCTTCTCCTCTGTGCCATTACAAAAGTCATGAACTACCATGTGCTATGCATTTACTTAGTCCAGTCTCCTCACACAGGTGCAGCAGGCGCTCGACAGGAGCAGGCATGGGACTAAACTCAAGATAATATGACAATAATTATTCAAAACGCTGACAGTTTAACCTGTGATGGATATGAAAACACATAACTACAGTAATATTATGAATATGTTCCATGTTGAAACATCTGTTGCAGTAAAGTAGTTTGTTATTACAAAACATTGACATAGTAGCAGTAGTAGTAGTAGTAGCAGTAGTAGCAGCAGCAGTAATAGTACAGCTTTTTTCCTGTAGTCTGGAGGTGCTATGGTGACCACTGATGATTATTGCAACACTTTTATGACAAAGAAACAGAGACAAAACCACACAAATTTTATCACACAGCTCTGGCCATCCCTGATCCAGAGCCCAGGGTCAAATGTCTCTCCCTGACCCATCCCATCCCTGACCTGTGCTGACTGCATTCTGTGGTGAGTCAAACAGCCAAGGACCAGACAGGAAACCTGGATTATTGTGCAATACAATCATAAAAGGACAAAGAAGTTGACATATCATAAGTGATCTTACATCCTAAAATGACCAAGAAAAGTAAACAACAAACACTGTTCTAAGTAAAGGCCTCTGTGGTGATGCCAACTCAGAGCTAATGCTACTTCCACAGCTGTGAGAGAGATAGAACTAACCCCCTTGTCCCCAAACACAGTGAGGCTAATCCCGGCTCCTCTGCATTACACAAACCAGACTACAGCGTGTAATTAGTGCCCCGCTGAGGACGGCCATTACAACAGGAGATTTGGCATTCCCCTGGCAGTGGGCACGGGGTGCCCCAGACACAGGGCAGCTGCTCTGTGGCCTACTGAACTGTACTCACGTGAGGGGATGGAGAGGGAGAGGGAGGGAGTGAGAGGGAGGAAGACAGAGAGGAGAGGGAGAGAGAGAGAGAAAGGGAGAGAGAAATAAACAGAAACACAGAGATATATAGAGAGAACGAGAAGGCAGAGAGAGGGAGGACAGAAAGAAAAAGGAGGAGGGTAAAAAAAATGAGTGTTTATGACAGAGAGAACGAGAGTTATTTTGGGCATGACCTCGTTCAATAAATGCGCTGTGAAGGTGGTGTCCTCCACCTGAAAACAAACTGTCCTGGAGCCTGTGTGCAGAGCTCAGAGGAACCAGAGGAACCGAATCTGACCCAAACACATTCTAGCACCTTATTATGAGAGCAGCATGAATCAGGCCATGTCAGAGCGGCTCTGTTGGCAGTCACCACGTGCTGGAGCGTGTGGTTCTGGCGTTCTGTGCTGTTGGGAGAACTTCACACAATGCTGAAAATACTTGTTGTGGTATGGGCTGGACATACCAAAGTCATGAAACAATGTATTTGTCAAAGAGGAGCATGTGACCTGCAGCCCTCTGCTCAACAACAACATCTGTGCTCTGTGCCTTTAAGGCGCCAAGTGCTCAGAGCATACAGTCTACAGGTCCACACGCTGCCACATTTCAAATGTGCAAACTGCTGTTTTCTGTTTGCCTGAAAAGTTCCATAGTGCCCCTTTAAGAGCAAAGACTGACTCCGGCCAGCCAAGTGACAGGTTAAATCCAAGAGACCATCTCATAGTACTTAGGGTTATTTATTAATTTGCATTAAAAAATACAAACAGCTGCAATAGAATAAAACCACTGAATGCCATACTCTGGAACATTTCAGGTTAAACAATAACAATATGAAGACAAGCAGGTGGTGGACCTTCACCATTAAGAACTTTCAGATTCTTGACAGCCAATTTAGCATCACACAGCAGCATACACAAAAGTGTCTCATTGAGTATACGTTATTACACGTACACAAACTGTATTAATGACACGTCCAGCAGAGCTGAAGTCAAGTCAACTTTCTGTAAATACATTGTGTGAGTGATATTGCCATGGCAACAGCCCGTCACTGAACACTTGGAGAGACACAAAGCTCACTCCCGTGATCTCCGCCCATGGTTCACTTCCCAAACCCAGCACCTGCATCAGTCAGTGCCAGTGCAGCCTCTGCAGCTTTCACATAAGGCATGATCAACTAACTCATAATGAGTCTATAATGTTTTAAGGTCATCTGAAACCCAGCAAAAGCAATGAGCCCAATGAAGAAGAGGCCACAGTGTGTTTAACATGATTTAGAACTTCTGGAGAACACTGATTCATCTACATTTTTGTCTGGATGACAACATGGGGAGTTCCCACCACAGAAGACCATATCTCTTACAGCCCCCTCAAATGCAGGCGCCTGACTGTCTAATATAAAATCATTACAAGAAGAGTGTCAACATCCACCACTAACCAGTGCCTCCTCCCATAATCCATCATGATAAACAGATTAACCTAAAGCGACATCGACCATGCAAAGCAGCCCCCCTACGGCTCTTGAAAATGTCCACTAATCCCCGTAATGACCGTCAGCTGGTCAGCGAGCGAGCCCCTGATCTGATGGACTGTGGAGTCATTTCCTGTGGGGACTAGATAAACAGCCTGTGGTCAGAGCACACACAGTGACCCCTCCCACCACCGCCGGGAGCTGCAGCCACATGGACACTCTACTTTTGTGGGAATAACAGGCGCTGGTAATGTTATGGCTGTCTTTTCTCATTGTGTAAACAGTCCAAACGTTTATGATGGCATAGTGGTCTAGATATTGTGGATATGCTCCCACAGTGCAAAGTGTGGGTGGGATTAGGGTCATGTAGGGACTGGTTTTTATTTCACAAAAGGAGAGAGTGTGTATGATCTAAGCAGAAGGGAATTCACATTTAAAGGCTCTGGGTGGGAATGAAATTGCACTACATAAGCAGCATCAGAGGGCGTGACCACATGGAGCATGGAAACAATAGGGTAAAGGAGATGCACTTCCAGGGGCAGGGCAGTGCGTGGTACAATGTGTGGTACAGTGCGTGGTACTGTGCGGGGTACTGTGCGGGGTACTGTGCGGGGTGTGCGTGGGTACGTGGGTGCGTGGTACAGTGCGTGGTACAGTGCGGGTACTGTGCGGGGTACTGTGCGGGGTACTGTGCGGGGTACTGTGCGGGGTACTCACGCAGAGCGTCCCTCCACATCCAGCTTGGTGGGGATAATGCCCTTCTTGGCGAGCACCGCAGACACCTTGTCCACCTCAGCCCGCTCCACCGCCTTCATCAGCCGGTCGTCATACTTGTTCCAGTCCGTGTTCTGAAGGATGACACAGTACACACATTAAACACATACAGTACACACATTAAAGGTACAGTACAAGCATCTGTGTACATCATTACGCTATAACATGTGCAGGCTCAAACATGCCTCAGTATGTGTAACCATCAGCAACAGCATCTCACAGCACTGCCATTATAGACAACAGAGAAAGTATGTACAAGAGCAGACGTACAAGAGCAGACGTACAAGAGCACACGTACAAGAGCACACGTACAAGAGCACACGTACAAGAGCAAACGTACAAGAGCATACATACTAGAACACACGTACAAGAGCATACACACAAGAGCATACATACAAGAGCACACGTACAAGAGCACACGTACAAGAGCATACATACAAGAGCATACATACAAGAGCATACATACAAGAGCATACACTACAAGAGCATACACACAAGAGCATACATACAAGAGCATACATACAAGAGCATACCACACAAGAGCATACATACAAGAGCATACACACAAGAGCATACACACAAGAGCATACATACAAGAGCATACATACAAGAGCATACACACAAGAGCATACATACAAGAGCATACACACAAGAGCATACATACAAGAGCATACATACAAGAGCATACACACAAGAGCATACATACAAGAGCATACATACAAAAGGCATGGCGGTGCATTTGAGCCAGCGGCTCATCCTGGGTGAAGGCAGCTGGTCCTTGCACCGTACTACAGAGAACGTCGCCAGGTTTCCGCTTTACAAACACAACACAGAAAAAAAAAAAGTTCCTCTGCTGCAGCACTCAGCCAGTGAGTGCAACAGTCAGATAAAAAAGTCCCAAGAGTTCACGTGGAAGATTTGAACAGCAATGGTGATCTGTCGACAGGCTCTGCCTGTGAGCTCATCACTGCACAGCAGTTTACACACAGTTCAGGGGAGGAGAGGGGGAGTAGAAAAGAGGGAATGGAGGTGGAGAAGCAGAAGGGCCAGCCCTGCCAGCCCTGGGACCTGCCCTGGCCGGCTCCTGCCACTCCTCCTCTGGGTACAGTCAGCTCAGCCTGACTGCTGCCTGTGGCCCCCCACAGTCTGTGCCCTGTGCCCTCAGCCCCCTCAGCCCTGTGCCCTCAGCCCTGTGCCCTCAGCCCTGTGCCCTCTGTGCTCGTCTGCTGTTGGCCTGAGGCTCCTGCTGGTCTGAGGTTTCTGCTTGTAATTGGCTCCTGCTTGTATGTGGCTCTCTGTTTGAAAAAGCTGTGCTCCTCTTCTGCAGGCTCTGCTCCTGTTGTGCTCCTGTTGTGCTCCTGTCGGTGCGTCCAACTGGCGGCTGAGTGAGCAGAGCGGGGTAAATATGGGAGGTTTAAAATATCCCCCTCCCTGTAAACAGCGCTGGTGCAGACAGCCCTGTAGACTGGTTACCTCTTTATTTTTTGACCTCCAACCTCCGTGTAGTGACTGATAGAAAGACAGGAGCTAAGAATACATAGTGGACATGCCTTGGCCATGAGTAATGGCTTTAGTGTCCATCAGCGCTGCCAGGCTGAAACAAGGCCGGCCCCACACTGCGCTCCTGTTCCAGCTGAAAATATGGGTGTCACTGGGGGATTAGGCTGTGGGCTGGGGCCTGAGGGGAGGACACGGAGGGGCTAAAAGGGTGCTGCTCCAAAGCCCCTGATCCCTGCGCTCCAGTAGCCCGGCGAGACCCCTCTGTGCAGGCAGCTGTCCCAGAGCGCCGGCCCCTCCAGGCACCGCGCCGACCGCACCACAAAAGATGAGCTGGGAGCAAAGGCACGGCCGTAAACAGGGGCGAGGTGTCAGACGAGAAGGTTAGCGACGCTGGGAGAGCGTGAGGAGGCAGAAGATGAGAACATGTATTTACACAGTGCAGCAGATCACAGAGTAGTGTTACACACTGTGGGCAGACTGGCGTTATAGCAGTGGAATGATACGCACAAACATCAACAAGGCCCAGCAGCACAATGGGACATACATGATGTTAGGGATGTTGCAATGTCAAATTATAGTTATGAAAGTGTTCTATTTTACGTCAATATTTCTGAACCAATGGTCAAACAACAGTGAAATCCTTTCGTCATCTTCATTTAAACAGACAGATCACCCTTGTTCTCGTAAGTGACAAACCATGACCATTTACGAACTAAAACTTTGTGGTAAAGTCAGTCTGATATAAGAGCCTAATAAAAAGTACTTTACATTTAGGTTTATAAATACACTGTGACCTTTAGAACTGTGATTAGCAAATAACTGAATTAACTTGATATCCCCGAATAATCTAACCCTTTGTAAATTTGACTATGTTTATTGTTAATGCAAAACTATTATTTCTTTGAAGAAGCTGTTGTACACTTAATCCAATATCCAGCTGTAATCCATCTGAAATCAATAAATCACTTTTAAAATATCTGTACAAAGTTTAAACAGAATATAACACCACATCATCTTTAAATGATAGACAGGGAATGTTCTGATGTCACACGCACACACTGTGAGGAGTGATACACACACGCACACACACTGTGAGGAGTGATACACACACGCACACACCCCGACACACACACACACACACTGTGAGGAGTGATGCGCACACATACACACACTGTCAGGAGTGATACACACACACGCAGACACGTACTATGAGGAGTGATACACACACGCACACACCCCGACACACACACACACACACTGTGAGGAGTGATGCGCACACGCACACACCCCGACACACACACACACTGTGAGGAGTGATACACACACACGCACACACACACACACACACCACACTGTGAGGAGTGACACACACACGCAGACACACTGTGAGGAGTGATACACACACACACGCAGACACACTGTGAGGAGTGATACACACACACGCAGACACATACTGTGAAGAGTGATACACACACACACACACTCACACATGTCTAAACCACCAATCACATCCCGCTCCTCACTTTTTCAGCAGCACCGCGTTGCCAAACCAATTTTCTGTGGGAAACACGGCACACATATTGTGAGGAGTGATACACACACACACACATACACAGACCATACACTGTGAGGAGTGATACACACTGGGTCTCTGTAGTTCACATACTGTGCAGGTGTCACTTCACTAAAGCTGCTCACCACCGCATGGAGACAAAGGGGCCAATGAGGCAGTGTGCACTGCTCATGTGCATATCTGACACGGTGAGCTCGTGTGTATTTGTTTAGGAATCTGCTGGTTAAGAATAGGCCTGTTAGCATGCTGCCAGGGAAACAGCCCAAAAAGAGGACAAAACCTGGAGTGAAAAACCAAAGCAGCACAATCTGCTACAATCTGGAAATACTGTCTCTCGTTAGTAAGTCATGATTGTGTAACATACAACAACACACATCACACGCTTTATTTAACTGACTTTCTATTTCCATTAGTGGAAAGAACTCTTACAAAAACACTGACCCATTAAATGAATTGTGATATACAAATACAAAAATAAAAAGAAAAGAAAAGAAATCAGCAGTTTGTTTTTGCTGTTTTTGTTGAGCTAACTGACATGCCAAATGAAGCCATCAATATAAAGTCACCTGGTTCTGGGAGTTATTGATCTGTGTCCAGTCTGACCAGTAGGCTGCAGTCTAGTCTTGCTCAATCTGCTCAGTGCAGAAGATGCTGTGATATGAGCTGACTTTGTCTGTACAACAGTCCTGCTGCACAGTAATGAGCCTCATTTGTATTTTGAGAACAAACTAAATGGATTCAGAAGATTTCTTCATGGATAGACAAGTTCAATGCCATTCTCTGATACACTCTTGTCTAGGCAAAGAAATTACACATACAACAACATATCCATGGAACCATGACAGACACATAAAGTGTACACTCAACTACACCAAAACATTTACACAGTTCACCCATAACAAAAACAACAGCAAGTTAAGGTACACTTGTCCTCTACATTTGACCCACGCTCTAGTGTCCGGCTACTGAAGTTTGACACATTGTTTCTCGTCATTTACACTCTCACCTGCATTTAACACATGCAGGTTAAGATGTGTCCCACTCACTATAAACTGTGATAAAGTGTTTTAGTTCAGACAAAAATGCTAGCTGACGTTGCAATTTCATGTTAAGTGCACAGACAGCGGCGCTTTATGCACTCAGGCTGTGCACACATCTGCTGTGTTTCCAAACAAATAATCCGTCTATCGTGCATGCTTTGGGTTGGGTTTGGAGTGCTCAGAGGAAACCCACCCAGACACAGGGTGAAACTGCAGGCCCGGGCAGTGTGGGAGGCGGGAGTAGCAGCCACTGAGTTATGATGAGGCCAATACAGCATCACACAGCACCATAACAAAAACCAACCTGAATCATTCAAGTGAAAACCTAAACCAGTGTTTGACTGGCTCCCCGTCCCCTGCTCTGTGGGCCTGTCCAGACAAATGCCTTTCCTCTGTCCAGACGGATGACATCATGAGCGACAAATACAGAGTCATCTGACCAGCGCACTAGGCCAAACCACAGCGCAGTCCGCTGTGGGGTGGGTAAGTGATAGGTGATAGTGGAGATAGATGTGTGAGAAGGATTTTATGGGATTATGGTGTGAAGTGATGTGAAGGCCAGAACATGAGCAGACGTTATGTCATCAACTCTGTCAGGGCACAGCTCTGAGCTGAGTGCACCTGACACTGACCCAGCTGAAGCATTACACAGGTGTGAGCTCCAGCGACAGAGGACAGGCACGACTAGACCATACTGGAAAATGTGACATGTGATCAGATTTTCTGGCATGTTGGTGTAACCCTCTGTGGCTCTGCTGTTTTACTTCTGTTGCTTTCGGCTTTGCTTTGGAGTCACTTTTCCAATATGATTTTTTTTTTTTTAATGGACTGATGATAACATAATGATGATAGGATCTGTCTTGTTCTTTACTGAAGTATTATAGTCCACTACTCCATCTTCTGCTACAGCACAATCATGGGAGGAAGTTTTACAGGTTGAACAGACTCTCTCAGTCAGAGG